TCTACAATTTCACCTCAGCTGTTTGAGATTTATGCAGCAGCTCGGTCAAAATCAAATTCAGTGCAGGCAGCCAACATTTCCGAGACTGTAAAACATTCATGTAAGCAAGATAACTGTATTACAGAGGAAAAAAAATACACCTGAAGGTCTACTTAACGCTAGTTTGACAGTTTTATTTTGTCCAGGCAGTCAAACGAGCAGAGAGGATCCATTAGCTGGTTTTATTTTGGTGAATCTGCAAAGGAAGAAATATGAGTGGCCAGCTGCTGCATGCAAATTGGACTCAGGAGGAAAGCAATGAAAGGGCGCTGTGAGTGGATGGAGGGGGTGATGAAGCAGACATTATTACTGCATGAGTCGGAGTGAGGAGGGAAATAAAAGGAAAAGCAGAACGATGATGAGATAGGAACCAAACTACTGTTTACATAAACGGCAAAAAGAATTAAAGAACAAAAATTAATCAGCAGGATGTGAGGAAATGTATTTCAAAGAAAAGAAAAGAAAAACTTCATTGAACACAGACAATAAACACAAACGAAAGAGCTGCCAGAGGGGGCGAAAGCATCACAGGAAGAGTCGGGAGGAAACCAAGAGACTTTCATATCCTGATGGAGATCCGTCTGAGGAAAGGGAAGCATGACACTCCACGCGACTCCCACTGATGCAGCACGGAGATACCAGGCTACAGCCGGTGCATGACTGCAGGCCTCAGCATCCCCGAGGAAAGAAAAACTCGTCTGTAACTGTGGAAACAACGAGGCTGAAGCATCTTCATGGCAACTAAAACCAAAAAAGTTTAATTTGGAGCGAAAAATCAGAGAGGCTGAGACGGTCTGAGCGTGTGCAGAGAAGGGAGAGTGGATGATGAAGACGGAGCTGCAGACAGCAGGAGAGGAGGAAGACCTCAGAGGAGGTTCATGGATGTGAGAGGAGGACAAGGAGAACATGCAGAGGGCTCGGAGGATGTTGGGATAGGAAGAGCTGCAGCAGATGATCAGCTCTGGAGATCCCTAAAGGGGGTGACTGGAAGAAGAAGAAGAAGAAGAAGAAGAAGAAGAAGAAGAGAAAGGGCAGAATAAAGAAGTTTTATCAGAAAACATACCAAACACAAAGAGCGAGCGAGGGTGAGTAAAGCCCGAGGACACACGCAGACTCAAACACACCAGCTAACAAAGCTGGTTTTCTTTGTGTTAGCTGTGTTAGCACAGGCTTCCTGCTGCAGGTTCTGAGCATGCTCACATAAAAGGATGCGTCATGTGACCCTACACACGACATCAAATGAGCATGTGACAGTGAAATGCAGCACTGCGCTGCATGCAAGTCCTGCACAAGGAGATCATCTGGAAACACAAACAGCAGCAGTACTGAGTGCAAATCTGCACATTATGACGTGAGAGCACCGATTGGCTGACTGGGAACAGGTAACACACAGGTGACTCTAAAGAGGCGATCACTACGACGATTACGTGAGGAGGAAGCGAAACTGAGAGTGAGGAAATGACCTGAAATACAAGCCCAGAGAAGGACCAGGGCGCTGAGGAGCGCAGGAAGTACAAAGAAAGAACACCACAAAGGACCCTTCTTTCAAAATAAAACCAGAAGTAAACTGAAAGAAGGACCAAACTCAGAGAGTGCTCACAGAGCCTGAGATGAGATGCAGACAGAGGAAAGAAAACTGAGAAGACCTGAGGACTGCAGCAATAATCTTATAATCATTATTCACAAACACAAAGGACGAGAAAACGAAACATCACATCAGGAAACGCAGGTGACACAAAAACATCCAACTGTCAGCAGAAACGTGCGGAGCAGAAAGAAAAGAGCCGCGAATGAAAACGACCTCATCAAACACAACAGGACGAGCCTGCCTGACACACACAACTTTCAAAATAAAAGTCCAGTGTCAGCAGCAGATCTGTGACAGGCGAGTCTCAGCTCATCATTAACTCGTCTGCCTCTGGAGCCTCGCTGCAGACAGCAGGAGAGCTGGTGGGCGCTCGCAGCCCACACACGCTCTCCACCGTAATACTAACACAACACACAGGCAGGCTGACAGCGAGAGGGGGTGGGATGTAAATGAAACCCTGTCAGTGTGTGTGTGTGTGTGTGTGTGTGTGTGTGTGTGTGTGTGTGTGTGTGTGTGTTAGCAGAATGCAGTGCTGCAAACACCAACTTTAGTGGGAACCACCCACAGCCTGTAAATAAAGACGGCAGCAGCTTCCAGGTCTGAAAAGTGGAACTGATGCCAAAGTGCAGCTTCTCTCAAACAGCCAGCAGGGGGCGACACCATCTGATCCTTATATATGTATACGTACACAAAAGTAAGCCACATCTCGCACAAGCAGTGTGAGAGCGAAGTGCTCTAATAGGGTGATATGGTACTACAAGGTCATTAAGATAAGGTGGGCCCTGATTATTTAAGACCTTGTATGTGAGGAGCAGGATTTTGAATTAACTGAAGGCTTTTCAGGGAGTTTTTAGGACTTCCTGAAAAGATAATGTGTTTCCATTTGTAGAGATTTGCACAAAGGGAAGAAAGCAGTCCTGCATATTTGTTTATGACCTTTGTAACCAACATAAAGGTCCAAAAGTCAAACTGGGCAGCAGCTCTGAGTAAAACCTTGTTTCCAGAAAAAGCTTCACTCAGAGTTAAAAGTAGAACAAACGTGACTCCCAGCACAAAGTGCGTGAGTGCAGGAAACTGTCAGGAGCAAACACTGAGCCATTACAGGTACAAATGTCTACACTCGTGTCTACACTCGCACAGGAAGTGCAGCATCAGGTGGTTCTCTGGCGGAAAGCTGAGCCGACACACAGACGTGTGAGCGGCAGAGGCGCGTCAGGGAGCCGAAGGTTACTGCAGCGTGACGTGTCCTGGAAACTGAAGAACTGAGGCTGAGCATCTGATTACTCACAGCGCCTTCAAACGCTGCTGCTGGTCGGACCATCTTTGATTCAGAAAATCCATCTGCTTCCACTTCCTGCACAGCCAACCACTCAACTCAGTTATGTTTCCAGTAAGATTTTATTGAGCTTATGAATAGAAAAGTTCTGTGTATGTTACTTAAACACAGCATTTAAATCTATTTAGCTGAACCATGAGAGACATCCTGGTCACACACGAGCAGATAAACTAAACTACGAGATCCCTGCGAGCAGGTTGGATTCCCGAACCGCGTCGAGTGTTTGGTGTTGGAGGCCTCTGAGGTGGAGCGGCCTGCCTGCGCGAGGCTGACGAGGCCCATCGAGCGCTGCAGGCGCCAAAAAAACTCTGAGTCCAAACTGGTCGTCTACGCGCTGTCCACCGTTAACAGGAGAAAACAGCCAATCGTCACGCATCACACGTGTGCCCACGACAACACAAAGACTAACACGTGCAAACGAATCATGTGTTGTGAGAGCCGTCGACGTGTTTCGGGGCGACTTCATGCGTGGAAGGAAAAGCCGGTGAACACACAACATCACTTATGAATGCTTCGTGCTTCCTCACTGCTGAAGACGCAAATGTGGAAAATGACAAAGCAAAGATCAGAGAGGAGAATGAGTCTGCACGCCGTCCTCCGACCTGTGCAGGTGAAGCGACCCGTGCTGCCGGGACGCCGGCTCCACTCGTCCGCTCGCTTGTAATCAGACCTTCACTGAAGCAGCAGAGACGAAGACGCACATTCATGCTGTGCATCCTGGTCCCAGACAACAATGACAACATGAGCTAACGTGTGGCGGCTTCATGCAGGAAGCATCATTCACAATAACAACATGCACCTAGCTCATGTCAGACCGCAAAATGAAAAGTCCACAGAAGTATGGCCCAAAACAGCCGCCCACACTTCGTGCATGACCTGTTTGGAGTCTCCTTCACACTGACCTGCTCACATCTTTGTGTTTTACTGATTCTTATTAAATTCTGCTTTTTAAAAAAAGCTACAGCGATGACTCGCTCTGTGCCAGCCTGCGACAGCTGCAGGAGCTCTCTGTTTCCCAGATTAGTCCAAACTTATTTCCAAAACACAGAATGATGAAAACACAGAATGATGCCTGACTTCATAAAAAATTATTTTATTTAAACACCTAAGTTGTAATCTAGCAGTAAAATCTGTCTGGAGCTCAGAGCAGGTCTTGTGCTAATCGGAGGGTTAAAAACCCTCATGAACGCACGCAGAGACTTTGTACCTGGATTTATTTCTAAATGTGAAACCCATGCAGAGCAGTGAAGTCTTACTACAGCTGTGAGCCTGACACCAGGACACGCAGCAGGAGGAAAGAGCCTGAAGGGCATCCTGGATCAGCCCCTGTACAGGCTTCAGGAGGCAGGAGCTGCTCTCACCTTTCTCCTCAGAGAAACCACGACACGGCGCTCTGACCGCGCAGCGTCACAGCTGCTGGCTGATACGTCACCTTAGACAGACCTGAAGCTGTGGTGTTACCCACAAACCGTCTAAGCTTCCAGCTTTAATCACACCCAACGAAGCTGCAGCCTTCAGTCTGTAAAACAACTAACTGTTGTTGCAGCTTCAGCCCATCAGTCACGAGAACAGAGTTAAATCTGATTGGTTCTCAGGACGTCTGCGTGGCTGATGAACAGCTGCTCATAATTCAGATGTGAGCCAGGTGTTTGCAGCTGGAGCGTTTAGCAAAAACTCAACTAAACTATTCATGTTTGCGTTCCTCGCTCAAGAATCGCAGCAGACATGAAGCTCAGCTCCAAACAGCATCATCACATCAAACGACTGGAAATGACCCTTTATGTGTCGGAGGGTAAAGGTGCAGCTGCCTCATCACATCAGCTCTACTCATTGACTACAATAAAGAAAACTAACAGTCCTGCAGCGCAGGACTGTTAGAGTTTTGGAAGTTTTGACTTTTGGAAGTTTTGACTTCCAAAAGTCATGTTTCTGCACAGCACCTCCTCCTCAGAGTTTCCTGTTTTTATGGATCTCATTCAGAGCCACAGGTCTGCAGGAGGACGAGCTAACCCTTTAAGGTGCAGGTCGCTTACGTACTCTGGGCTCTTGGGGTAGAAGGGCAGGGTCACATGGCACAGGTCGCTGATGTCACAGGCGGTGGGTTCGGCGGAGATGGCCTGCCGCTTGCTGCGGTGCTGGTCCGGCTGCAGGACGAGGCTCTGCTGCTGCGCCTGGACCTGCTGGGCGGTGGCGGGCCGGAGCACCGAGCGGTACTTGTCCAGCTCATTCTGCAGCCTCTGGATCAGCTCGTCCTTCTGGTCCAGCTCCAGCTCCAGCTCGTCTATCAGGGCGTCGCGTTGCCGAAGTTCCTCGATCTTCTCCTGCAGGGCATACTGGAGGTCCCGCAAGGTCCCCATCTGTCCTTCGGGGGATCCACAAGGAGTTCTTTTGAACTATCTGAGGTACGCCCTCAGGTTCCACTGGAATACCTTCTTCTCCTAAAGAACTCGACTCTTCGAATCCTCTGGAGTCTTTGAGGATTTTGAGCACCTAAAAGTTTTGACTTCCAAAAGTCATGTTTCTGCACAGCACCTCCTCCTCAGAGTTTCCTGTTTTTATGGATCTTCAGGATCCTTGAAGTGCTCATCCTGATTGGTCAAAGTGTTAGTCTATGAGCCATTTACAGCAACCCAGGATCTTTGGTACACCTGCACTTTGCTTCTTCTGCCACATTCAGCATTTCTCGGGGGTCACGTAAACAATTTGAAAGACCTTCAGGAAGCTTCGGAGTCTTTCAGCGTCTTCAGAAGCCTCCTGGGTTGTCATGTAGTTCCTCTGGTTAAAGTTTAGTTTTAGAGTTTCAGCTCAGTGTCTGAGAAGCTCTCTTCACATCCCTCCCTCCCCTGAGGTAATGCTGCAGGTTCTTCCAGGAGGATAATTCAGGTGTGTCGTTAGTTTCACTCACTTTCTTCTCAGTATGAACTGAAGAACCTCCAGGGTCTCCCTGAATTCCTCAGATGGGTTCTCAGAGTTTCACCAGAGAGCAAACACCTAGTTCTGGTTTTAGGATAGTTTCCTTCTTTGTGGCAGTTTCGGGTTTCTCCCATTGAAGTCGTTAAAGTTCTCTGAGTTCCTCGGTCCTCCAAGGAAAACAAAATTCCTGATGATGCAACTGGAGAAACGTTTGGTTCAGGGTGTGACCTCACATCCTCCCTGCTTCATCTGAGCAGATGTGGAGATGAGTGAGAGGAAACCTGAGCAGACACTCACCAGCTCTCAGCGTCCTGCCTGCAGAAGCAGCTGTACCTCCAGGAAACATCTGATCAATGACAGACGACCAGAGAGACGACAGCGTGGAACAAAGTTTGAGTGAAGAATCCACAGGTCCTCGCGTGAAGTCCGGAGGAAGGCTGGGTCAGCACGGCGGCGTCCGCAGAGGCGAATCCACGCAAACACACGGCGTGAAACATGAGCCTTGCTCTCGCCCCGCTCCTCCTGCTGCGGGCTGAGCGTCACTCAGGTGCACAGGAGCTGTTTTCAAACCGATAAGCGAAAAAACGCGAAACGCAAAGAGAAACGTGCGGGTGGAAGGAGGCGCTCTCACTCCGCTCTCCTCTCTCTGCCGCGCACCGGAGGACGGAAACGTTGCCGCTTCATCCCGGCGGCACTTCAGCGAGTTACCGGAGCTGAGGCTGAACGACACGAGCCACGAAAAGTTGGTCTGCCTCAGCTCCTCCTCCTCCTCCTCACTCACTCAGAAACATTTGAAGCTTCAGGGTTTAAAACCTGAACATTTACGGCTGGTGTCAGAGCCGGAGGTATGTTCAAGAAGCCCAGGGGCAACCTCCAACCCCGCAACGCTCACACACACACACACACACACACACACACCTTTATTTCCCATCAGGGAGAAGCACACAGAGACCAGCTTCATCAGCAGGAAATTGGGGTGGATAACATCTTTAATTCAGTCTCTGTGACCTCGGAGGCAAAGAGGGCGGAGCCTAAACAACATCCAGGATCTCCTCAAACAATCATAAAGGAACCTCCACCTCCACCTGTAAATGTCACGTTTGAACCACATGTAGCCTTCACACTGCTCCGCTCTCTTTATATTTCTCTCACTTTTCACCCTCATGTATCCTCAGACCACAGACTCCAGCGGACGCTGAGACCTCTCAGGGTGGAGTTCAGGTGGGAACACGAGTCCAGTCCTGGACCCGGGCTGAGTCGGAATCAGAAGCTGGTGCAGGCAGACGGGTGTGGTTCTGATGGATGTTGCTGGAGCGCCTGCAGCTTGTGGTGATGTGTCCTGTGCACACGGCGCGCTGCAGGTCCACGGTTCGATTCCCTCTGTGGCACCTTTGCTGCCGTGGTCTCTCTGCAGGGGTCGCTTCATGTCAGTCGGTCTGTTTTGTTGTTTGTGGAAATAAAGTTCTAGTAATTGGAGCAGAGCGGGCTCATAAAATCAGCCACTTCCTTCAAAACCACATTTTTATGGACGTGCTTTTATGTGATGTTGTCTTCTATAGTCTTCATTTACGATCCTTTATCAGCTCATCATCTTTAATGGGGTTTGTAAAGTTATTCACTTTTTTATTTTTAAGTATTTCTCTGCAATAATTGTCTCGTAGCTGAATTTTTTATTATTTTTTAGCAGTGAAGAAAAAACATTTCATAGAAAAACATAAACAGCGTTCGTGTCTTTTATAAATAAAGTTACTAAAGAGCCGGTAGAGCGGCTGAAGGCCAGCTCAGGACTCCTGCTGCCATGCGGCGCCCTCTGCTGGACGATCACTGTCATTACAACAAACTGCAGACAAACTGTGGAACCAGCTTCCAGTTTGGATTCAGGAGACAGACACTATCTCTACTTTCAAGATTAGGCTTCAAACTTTCCTTTTTGCTAAAGCATATAGTTA